AACCATAAGTTTTGCTTTAGAATGGCCAACGACAGATTTTATTTGGCCGCATGATTGCCAGTTATGTTGAGCACAATTAAATTAAAAAGACAGTTATTATGGGTTGAATATTATGGGGTAGAAAAAGTCATTTATGAGCTATTTTACTGAATGCGCAAACGCTGCCACCATTCAAGAAGCCGATTTTTCCTTCCCGTCTTATTGTGGGGTTATATGTTAAAACCCTTATATGCTGGGTATACCGATTTCGCATATAAAAATACAGCATCTAATAACTCTCAGTGGATGCACAAGTTACATGCAGGAACAAAAGGAATTATCATGACACCGATTGAAGGGTGTTTACAGCCTAAATAACATGCCACATTAGAAACAATTAGCAAAATGCGTTATTGGGCTGCACTACTGATAATGGCTATGGAGCCGGAGCTGGAGCCAGCTCCGGCATAAAAAAATGAAGCGCCGGAGTTGGAGCTAAAGTTTGATTACACTGCGACTCCGGAGCCATCATGATTTCGAACCAGCTCCCCAGCCCTGGATAGAACGTTTACGTTTTTTGGTGGGATTTCCCATATTCTCTAACAGTCATGTCGTTACTGTTTTTCCTTCATCGTCTCTCTCCCTAGTATTATTTTATCATCTCCCTGTAGTCTTCGTCTTTTTGTGCTGATGATGTTTTTGCTGCTTTACTGTTCCATCTTTTCATCCATTCACATAGCAAGTTTTGTCATCACTGCGAATCGGCTTTGCGTTCCACCAAAGTCTGCAATCTCACCAAATCTTTGAATATTATTACTCTCGTTGGATGTTATAACTGCTAACGTTTCTTCATTGTGTTGTTTGGTTCTATGCACTTTAAGAGTCCCACATCATTCCGCACGATTTCTCTGTTTGGTCTTGATGAGAGATAACGATGTTAAGATTGCACTAATTAATATCCTTTGCAAGAGGATTAACAATCCAAAAGTTTATAGGACTACTTTCAAACTACGGAACGTGCAAACTGCAAAGTTCTCAATCAGGTACCGTTATGAGGTCATAGACTTAACTCCAGCCGTTCTGGACCTAGAATGGGTAGAAGACCGCTCACCGAGTTTGGTTGTTAGACGAATACCGGTACTACGAATCAATAAGTGTTGAAAAAAATGACAAAATGAATGGAAATATCGTCTATTCTATACTCTGTATTTTGCAATTTGCTTTTAATATATTAATATTGGAATATATTTGGCGGACTGGCAGCAAGGTTCCCGCGGACCGGCGTTCGAGGACCACTGGTATATAGTATACTGCCATTGCCACTACCATCCCGATTGCTTTTTATTGCGGCCGCGCAGGGAAGCCTACAATAAAAAGCGCGCTTTGCGTAGTCGGGACCAGAAATTTTTCAATAAGTAACGTATAATACAATGTAAACGATTTTGGTGGTGGTAACAGCTAGTCTTCTTCTAACATGTTGCCACCATCCATAATCACATATATTAGCACAATGTCATATGGTTCAATTCCATCAATTTTAGCTAATGCTTGTTGCACTATGTCAGGGGTCACCAGCTTTTCCGAAGCCGTGTGCTACTTTCTAGGTACAGATTAAGCTGAGGGCTACCAGTTCAATGCACACTTCTAAAAAAGTCACTATGCAGTGGCGTAGCAAGACTCTCGTGGGCCCCCCCTCAAAAATATTTCGTGGAAATGACCTTAAAAACTCTTGGACATAAGCTAAAACAACGCTTTTTTTATTTTGTCAAAAAGCATAACATGTCGCTATAAAAAGGCAGTGGTAACCTAAAATTTGCAGTTTATCTTGATTACTTTAATTTTTTTCGTACCTTCTTCCTTTTCTGCCCTTTTTCTGCGTTTCTGTGCGCCACTGAGAGGTTTTGCTTTCGACATCATTCTGACAGCCTTCGTAATTTTGCCGGTGCGATCAAACCAGAGCCATTATATAACTAGTCTGGAAGGCCGTATACTGACCTGTTGTTCACAGCGTCATCTAGTGTTGGCGTGGGTAATTCATAACTAGGGCTGGGCGTTTCGAAACACTGTTTCAATACGTTTCGAAACACTGATATGTCGAAACGGCGCTGTTTCGACTTCCGAAACGGACATTATGACGTCATAGCAATAACAATCTGAAATCAGTCGAATCAGTCCAAGTCGAATTTCATATCCGAATTTATTCGGATATCGCGACTCTCAAATATCGTTTTTAGTGTTTATAAGAATATTGAATATATTTCAACATAGTCGAGATAGTCTGGGTTACTACGACAATAAATCTAAAATCAAATTTTGTCGTAATTAATCTTTTTCATCCTTAGTTCTATAGTGACCGAGCATTTCCTGCATTGCCCCGTATGAACTAGCTCATTGAATATCATTTAGTATCTATCGCAGATTTTATTGTTACACTGCCGTCGTTAATATTAATTATAGTTCAGTGCAAGTTTGCGGTATTAATTTATAAGCAATAATAAAAGCATAACAGTCGACGTGAAATATTCAAATCAGAACTGACTTGAAGAAAAATGAAACACGATTTTTCAGTCTTAACTCTCCGTCATTTGGCGGATGGAAATTTGTGAATTGGGCTCGACTCATTTGATTACGACGATAACGCGTTATAAGCAAAACAAAACAGTCAAAATTTGTGGGGGAGGGATAATTGTGCGCGAATTTAGCTTAACGATGTCGATGTCACGCTGACGATAAACAGTCACAACAAAAGTTAGCCGCGACAAAATCCGAATTTATATTAATTTTACTGTTAATTTAAACGCCATTTCTCTGGGCGCCTAGTTATAGCTAATTTCATCAACGATAATATCCATGAAAGCCCATTCCTGTGTTCATGGAGTTAAGAACTGTATTGGAATTCAGATTCAAAGATATTTTTTTAAAATGTATTAGTCAAGTATTCGGTTGTGGCTTGGTATTATGGCTCTCCTTGGTTATTATTCCCCACTGGATCACAAGGTCAGTGACATCGGATAATATAGAAAATGATCCCAATTATTACATAAGATGAGGGCAGTGGGTCGCATTGATACGCTTGAGAGGCCCCATGCTATATATGCTGCTTGTGAGCCCCATCTCTAACAATGACGTAATTCGGTAATAATTATTTCTGATGCCATTTGGTCACTGCTTTGTCATTAGCAAAAACGTCACTGCTTTGTCATTAGCAAAAACCTTCATTGAATTATCATTATCGTTTCATGCTCTCGAATTAGCCTCCGGTGCTTCGTTTTTGTGGTTTTAATTCTTGAAAATATGTGCAATTAACACTAAATTCGATGGGTAATGATGGTTTTATTGTTTTTGACAAACGTGTGTTTCGTTTCGAAGGCGAAATTTCGTTTCGATTTCGAAACACCAGTGTTTCGAAAATGCCCAGCCCTATTCATAACCACGGAGTCGTCTGCTGTATATTTTAGGCTTCTCGCTGTTAACGGTATTCGAAGTTCGAATGAAAATGGATTTATCTGAGAAAAAAATGCTTGAATTTTTTGATGACGTGAGTTATATAGTACTGATTGCTTATTGAAATAGGTTTTAATCCTGAAAGAATGAATAGTAAGAGTTTATAGAACCGTAGTTTAGTATATGAAAGTAGAGACCGTTTTTGTTTTGCTAAAAATTTGGTCAGTATTTTGACATCACATCTGTTTTGATTTATTCAAGCACTTAGGCACTGTTTTAGACCAGATTTTATATATTTCACAGCTTGATGACGAGATAGAAGGAAAATGGGACATATCTGTAGTAGAAATCGACTACGGAAGTGTTGATTGCAAGAAGACACTGCAGATTGCATTGAATGATTTGATCATCACATTAAATCAGGAATCACCACTATGGGCAGATGTTATAGCGGATATGAAGGAAATTTCTAGGGAAGAATCCAGAAGTAAAATGACAGCTAAATACATTGAAAAATTGCAAAAGCCATATTCGAACAATTCTGAAATCTCTCATTTGGACCTAAAACGCATAATCAAAACTGCAGCACCGAAAGTTATAAAAAGAGCGTTTCAAGTAACTGAGCCATTCATGCAAACGTCAATAAACAAAGGCGACAAAAAGGTGATTGAGTAACCTAGCTGGGGGATTGCTAAAATGGGGAATAAAGCGTCTAGGTGGAGAAGGTGCTTTTTGGTGCCAAAACTAAGCTTCGAGGCGTGATCTTCCCAATTGCTTTGAAGAGCGCGAGAGAGGCGGTCTCATATCAGCATCCGAAACATTTGTTCTCTTCCCTAATTCTGTGGAACGCGAATTCCGGTCTCAAGGCATGCAAAAGGGTAATAGATGATTATTGGAAATATTGACATGGACCTCTTCAGCCCCAGTGAATCCAGTATTATGACCATTCTTGTGGGAAGGTTTACTCCATCAAGGACCCATCCATATCCATTGTAAGACTGAACTGCAGAACAACAATAATCTCATTATTACACTAGAATAAAAATTAGTCAACAAAACAACTTCTACTTTGTGTTCTTAGCATAAGAAATACAAAAAAAAAACTGAACAGGAATTTTGACTCAAAAATGAAGAAACACACAAACCTGGTAGAGAAAAATGACAAATGCACAGACCAATAATTGATAGCTAATTTTAAAACATAGATGCGGTTTCACAAATTTGAATAAAATTATACGAGGAATAGGGGAAACTTTTCAATTTGAATTCAGCTTCTCAAATAGAATTTTTGACAAATAAACCATCAATTAATATTCATATGAAAATATAATTTTGGATACATTATGGTAACTATTATTAAAAGCAGAGACGAGCCAGCCACTGAAATTAGAAAACATATTTAAGAAAATGGACTAGTACTTGTATATAAATCCGTATGCATGTATTTAAGCAGAAAGAAGTCAGCTTCTAGAAATTTATCAATCATTTTCAATCGCAACATTAGAACCAAAAAGCCTACTACTCGATTTTACAACATCAATTGATCTGGAGTTTGATGTGAATAAACTAAAGGTGGGGTTTCCAGTAAGGGTAAGTGTAGTGTATTCAGGTATAACAACTATATGAATCTTCGATTATAATTATGGATATTTCCCCGAGTATACACTTCCTTATTTACTGCGGTGACATTGGCCAATCAGTATAAGTGCAAATTTTGACGTAATAATAAACATTTTAGAAGCGCTCAGATACTTATGCCATTCAGACAGTCTGTCGTGGCTGAATTTTGGATTTCAGTTGCAAAGGAATATCCGGAGTTCTTAACTGATGCAATGAATGTTCTGTTGCCATTCGGAACAACTACCTACTTATGTGAAAGGACGTTTTCTTACATACAGAACAAGGCTAGAAGATCTTCGAGTTACCGTCTCCCAAATTAAACCTCAAATTGACATGTTGTGCTCGAAACACAAAGCTTATAATTCGCATTAGTTATAATAAACGATAATATTCATTTTATGTGCTAAGTTTCACATAATTTTATGCAAGAAAATTGATAGGGTCAATAATAGTATTAAAATTGATAACTAATTTTATGCTTACCAAATTCTTGGGTTGCAAGAAATTAGAAAAAGAATTTTTGGGTAGCGCTGAAAAGTAGTTGCGGCCCCCTGCTCTAGAGGGTCTTGGTTCATTCGCCGTGGTAAAACATAGCTCGCACCACTGTCCAAAACAATACGAATAATCGCAGCCATGGAAATAGATTCCATTCTCAAGCCATTTTTTGTGGCATCACTGAGCAGCATTTTCTGGCGATTAACTTCTTCCACTAATGGCCGACTGTATGCCTTTTCTTCCCAATATCCAGGTATTTTAGAAAATCTTTCTCAAGCCATTCTGATCTTTTATCATAGATGTTGTAAAAAGGCTGAATTTTCTCTTGTCACTGTCTTGATCATGCACATGGAGACGCATACAAGTGTAGCAGATGTTGGGTCGTGTACCAGCATAAAAATACAATATTTCACATTGAGAGCTGATATATCTGTATTGATACAATACCAAAAATAAATTCAACAAAAATACAACTAAAAAGAAGTATATCTGACTAAATGCAAATGTATCTTACCTTAATTTCAAGGAAATTCTGCCATCATCTTCTATTTCTGGAACACTTCTGGGAATCCATGAACTTTTTGTGGAAACAATATCATATCCCAAACTCGGGGTGAGATCAACTAAGTTTTTGAGTAGGATTGAAATTGCCGATGATATTGTGGGAGAAAAAACTCCACCGAAAGCGCAAGAAAAGGAAAATTGTTTTTGGTCAAATTGGCAAATTAGAAGGCTCATTTCCGATGTCGCCTGTAAACTGTGATTAGAATAGTATGTGAAATGAGCTTTGTATGTATTGATTTAATGTATTCTCCAGTTTTTCAAAAGCTGAAATTATTTCATTGATGGAATTGTAGTTAATAATTGCAGATTGAGATGATGAAGGTGGACAGTCATTTATAGATGAATATTTGGGAACAATTCTTCCTGGTGGCCAGGGAGGTGCTTCATGTGATTTTCTTGGCAACAATTTTGTGGGTGATGCTCCAAACTTAATCCAACTTTTTTATTGGCCCTTTGAATATCTTCATCCTTGAAATTATCAGCACAAATTCTAGCTTTTCCATTCTCAACTTTGCTTTTAAAGTTAGGAGAGTAGCAATATTTAAACACAATCTGGATGCAATAGAAAATTACTTAGCAATTAATATGTCAAAGTCATAAGTGAGTTAATAAATGGCTAACACTAGAATACAATAAGGCACAAAATAAACAGTGAAAACTCATGACATCACATACCGGTACAGCAGTAGCCTACACCATATTTCTGAAATGAAAGAATAAACTTTGCCCTTGCTTTGGATAGTCAAAATAAAATACGGTAATTTCCTTTTCTTACCATCCGGGACACGATGCTTGCTTGGAACCATAATTAACTCTGTACCGGTAACTAAAAAACGAATGTTACCGTACCAGCACCGGAGTTACCAGTAGCTTAGAATAGAATTCTAGACTGCCTTTTCTGCATATACAGTCCGTATTTGAGTTTAATAATAATAGTTTGTCTTTTTATTTTAGTTTTCTATATCTTGCCAACTTCGCGCAACTTGAAATGTGTAAACATGGCCTGAAAACAATCACACATTACCTGTATCAAACTGCCTGATTCGGCTGTCCAGCAGACGACAGGGGTGTAAAACCCACGCCAACACCAGATGTCGCTGTCAACAACTCGGGTGTTTGCTCGGTGTCATGCAAAAAAGCGAGAGCTTCCAGACTAGTTATATAATGGCTATGATCAAACCACAAGACGCTGAAAATCGAAGACTCCATGGCATTGTTACGTAACAAAACGATTTGAGCAGAACTAACATCAACGTTATAAGATAAATTTGAGTTGGGTTGCGCGAGACTAACTTCCTATCTTTTCTCTATGCCTTTATGCTAGTGGATCCGTATGTGTATACTGCAAGGATACTGTAGCTGGAATAAACATGACTATTCTATCCAATTAAAGAGTCCAGCTGCACACTAACACAAATGTATTTCTGTAACGTTTCTTCTGACCCGAGTCAGACTTCCTCAGACAAGCAGTTTACAACAATGACTACTCCCGACAGATTCGATAACTTTCAACTGCAAACAGACATTAATAAAACAATTCGCAACTACCGCTTGAGAGAATACTTTTTTGATCCATTCTCCAGTCAAACCATCAGCGAAGTAGCTGAAACATATCCGATATCCTTACGTGTTCCAAGTAGATGGACACCGCCTACTGGGAGAAATTCTGACTTAGATCACTTCGCTAACACTCTAAAACGGGAAATCAAAGAAACGTACATTTTTCCAATCTCAAAAAAGACAAAGTCGAGGCCTTGAGGGAACTAGAACAAAGAGCAGCAAGGGATCATCATAATACCAGCGGACAAAGGCGGGGGAACTTGCATACTCTCCCGAACTGACTACATCACAGAAGGTATGCGGCATCTATCGGATAACTTGGTATACAAGTGCATTCCAAAAGACATATCTATACAAAATTGGCAACAAAGTAACCAAATTATGTCATAATATGAGGGAAGCCGACATTATTGATGACATACTATTCAAAGGGATAACTCCAAAAAGACCTAAACCAGGTCGTTTACGTTTACAACCAAAAGTGCATAAGAAAAATCACCCCAGTCGGCCAATCATATCAACAAACGGAACTGCAACGGAAAAATTATCAGCTTTCATAGATTACAAATTAACTAACCTCATGTGCAAAGAGGTAATACCATCATATGTCAGAGACAGTATGGATTTTCTGAATATTCTGAAAAAAATTGACAATATTCCGCCAGGATCTTATTTAGTAACCATGGACGTGACTTCCTTGTATACAAATATTCCACATAAAGATGGCATCTTAGCGGTGGAGAAGTATCTCAGTAAATATACCACAGAAAAACGGGAAATTCCATATAGAGGACTTGCACGGGTCACGTGACATTGTTACTGGACGGCAATAAAACAAAAACGTCCATTTGGCTCCTGTCAGTTGCAAGTCGGATTATACGTTTGCGTTTTGTTTGGCTGTTGAAAATGGTTATTTCGTTGTTCTGTTGGCTGTACGTATAGTATAGACAACGAAATGGATCTTCAGTAATATTCCACTGATTAAAAAGATCCTGAACGTCGCGCAATGTGGATATCATCTATTGCCTATTGGCAGAACTGCTTGGTGTCAAGTCCAGAAGCCATCTTACTTGTGTTTCACTGTTTGGCGGACAGCACTTCGTTGATGGTGAGTGGAAATGTGGTGATAGTGTGCCGTTATCAATTTCTTTAAATATTCACAAGCTTCCTCATTTCAATGGAAAGCAGATGACAAACTACTGTTATCAGTAGGCCTAGTTGCAGACTTGACTTGTGTAAGACAGTAAGGAATTAATAATCAATTGCTGTAAGGTATTGTTTCCCTGATTAGCAGGTAATCTATTAATAAGTGTGAAAGGTTGAATAGATAACTAAAGTTTAACACCAGTGGTCATGCAAAAAATAACCAGAATTCAATTGAATTCGCCATCTAGGAATACGCTCGCCACCGCATCTCTGATCACCCTGGTAGTTTCATAGGTTTCAATCCCATGCGGGGATAGTTATGTGCTAGAGGATTGCAGCTCCACTACCACCGAGGGTTGTTCACATGACCTCTGATCGGTTACGACCATTCCCCACCATCCAAGTCCATGCTTCTGAAATCAAATAACTGGCTCCCCCCAGATAAATCCTATCCTAATGGTGCTTGTACAACTGATTCAAAATGTCTTTTTATTGTCATTGGTAAAAAATATATGCTACCCGGAATCAAATTCATTTACGACTAGTGGCTGTGGTGGGATATGGACATAAATTTCACACTCTTATCTGTATCCATTATCTAACAGATATGGGTGCGACCATGGAATAGATGGATGGCAAAGTATAAGTCGCAACAAGACCACAGTGGCACAAGACCTCAGCTTGCATGACTTGATAATACATCCTCAGTATCCATTTATTGATGCTTATCGTAGTGACAAAGTAACTTGTCATTACTGTGGATTGGTGGAGACAAAGTGTCCATTGTGCTGTAACGAAATCAACTTCAAGACGACCCTATCAAGAAAAAAAATTGTTTCGGTGGGTCTGGTCGTGAAGGTTTCAGTCTAACGTTGGACACCGATACCACAACCAGATACAGTTGCCAATGAAACTTAAGCGAGGCGTAATATTGCGACTTTGTGATCTGAAAGGAAATTCTGATGGGTAGCCTGCTAGCCGCAACCTTTTGTTTAAAGAATATTATGAGATACGACTTAAGAGTCTAAACTTTTATTTGAGAGGGGTGTAACCCAAGCTAATTTGCAAATAGTATTCATAGTACCAAATGTATCACACACCTTTACAGTAATTATAAATTATATTTGAAAAATAAAGCACATCAAAAATGTATTTTTAAAAAACTGGTTTTATCTGCAGATACTAGGTTGATATTGAGATTGACCATTTCAATGCTAAATTTTCTTTAGTCAAAAGGCACACTTGATTCGCAAAAATTTGTGAATGCGCACAGTACACCAATTTGTCTAATGTTTTGATTCCATAGGCAGGTTGTGGATCGGTGCTGCTCGGGATGGGATATTTTTGCCTCTAAATGCATATTACGTGTTTCACATGAATCCATCGTGCTCAGATTCGACTGTTTTCAAGGTCTGAAGGCTCCAACAGCCTTATTTTATGGGTACACAAGAGAATTTTCAGTGTGGCATGCATGGGTCAGTTGGAGTTACTAACCTCAAGATATCTATAAGCAAGGATAAGATAACCTGGAAGTAACATTCCATAATTTAGAGTAAAAATGTATCTATCTCCACAGCCCTTTCAAATGGAAGATATGATGCCTCGGGGGTAATTTCTATCAAATATTTTACAGTATTATGGTTCTAGTGAAAAGGGGTGTAGGCGGCTTTTTTTTAAAGTGTGGTAGGTCTAGTCGAATGACACATTAAATGTTTATGCTAACAACTGCGAATTAATATTGCAACGCATACAAGTTAACAGAATTTGTTGAAATGGTCCTGCCTTTTGCCTTTCTTCAAAATCCTCCTTTTTCTAACTATTCTCTACTTCTCTGGGGATGGCGAAAATTCAAATATCGATGGGACATGTAAGCAGCTGATAATGGGTATCTTCCCTTTTCCTGAAAATAAATTAAACACTAATCATCATTTGACAGTGCCAAGTTTGTGTATCAGATCAGTAATAAATTACCTGCTACCTAACAAAACAATCAGACAACACCTTCTGACCATTAATGAAGACTTCTTTCAATTTAAAACGCAACTATGCCTACCAATGTGGGTAGTTTTTAGGATAGAATTTATCTGTGGTTGGGGACAGATTGCAAGGTGCAACATCGTACGATTACCATTCTATGTCGGGATTAGTTAGGCCAGTTATTTGTTTTAGAAGCATGAACTTGATGGGTGGGGGATGTCGTAATCGACCAGCGGTCGTGTGAACCACCCTTAGTGGGAGGAGAGCTGCAATCCCCTCGCACATAACTATCCCCGCATGGGATTGGAACCTGTGAAACTCCCAGGGGGATCAGAGATGCGGTGGCTAGCGTATTCTCAGATAGAGAATTCAATTGAATTCTGGTTATTTTTTGCATTAGCACTGGCGTTAAACTTTAGTTATCTATTCAAATTTTCACACTTACTAATAGATTACCTGCTAACTAGGGAAACAATACCTCATGGCAATTATTGATTAATACCTTACACGAGTCAAGTCTGCAAGTAGGCCTACACCTGAGCCTACCAATAACAGTAGTTTGTCATCTGCTTTCCATTGAAATGAGGGAGCTTATGAATATTTAAAAAAATTGATAACGGCACATCATGACTCACCATCAACGAAGTGCTGTCCGCAAACAGTGAAACACGAGTAAGATGGCTTCTGGACTTGACACCAAGCAGTCCTGCCAATAGATGATATCCACATTGCGCGACGTTCCGGATCTTTTGAAAACAGTGGAATATAGCTGATGATCCATTTCGTTGTCTATACTATACGTACAGCCAGCGGAACAATACGAAATAACCATTATCAACAGCCAAACAAAACGGAAACGTATAATCCGACTTGCAACTGACAGGAGCCAAATGGACGTTTTTGTTTTATTGCCGTCCAGTAACAAGGTCACGTGACCCGTGCAAGTCCTCTATATTAAAGAAGCAGTTAATATGGTTCTTGATAATAATAATTTTGTATTTGACGGAAAGCATTATCTCCAAATCAATGGGACAGCGACGGGAACTAAGATGGCTCCCAAATATGCAAACATATTTATGGCAGACTTAGAGTCTGAAATTCTAGAAACAGCCAAGATTAGGCCACAATACTACAATAGATACATCGATGACTGTTTTCTGATCTGGACACACGGCGAAACCGAGCTTATATCTTTTATAAACCATGCGAATTCAATACACCCTTCTATCAAGTTCACATTCGAATATTCAACGGAAAACATTACATTTTTAGACGTAAAAGTCCATATCATGGACAACAAATTGGAAACGGAAATTAACACTAAAGACACGGACTCTCACCAATATCTTTTACCCTCCTCATGCCACCCCAAACATCGTTGTAAACTGCTTGTCTGAGGAAGTCTGACTCTGGTCAAACGAAACGTTACAGAAATACATATGTGTTAGTGTGCAGCTGGACTCTTTAATTGGATAAAACGTTATAAGATGTGCATTACTTGTTTTGCACTGCAACTTTTGGTTTGCGGCCTAAATTTTCAAATTCTAACCGCTTGGGCCCCTTTGCGCTGTGGGCGCGACCGCGGGGGTGGATGCTACGCCACTGTCACTATGTCTGATTAATCTTCAATTGTTGATAATTACTGGAATTTAGTCAAATAGAGACACTGATAAACTTTAGGATTCTTCAGGAAATCAAATGATTATCCATCATAGCAAATAAATTACTATAAATGACACTTACATTTTCAAATTGGGTGTTTTTCAAATTAATTTTAAAGTAATCACTTCTATAATATCCTAGGAAACAACAATGTACCTGCTTTTTTACAAACACCCAGCATGTATGCCTAAAATGAAATAGACTTAACAGTTGTACTATCAAATATTACACTGGTAATCAAATGTTACACATTTAAAAAATTAGGAATATTATATTTTCAACTAGGAGCAAACAAATCTGGTCTAATGCTCCCCACAAGTGTGTTGTACTCCGTCGTGTAATTTGAAACTGCAACTTCGAGCGAGTCTTGCAGTTTTTTATCAGTGAGGCTTGTTCTTGAAGTGAAGTTCATGTCAAAAAACGTTGATTTACAAACACAGGTTGAATCAAACACTGGTCTCGTAAAATAGAATTGTTGTTGGATTTAAATCGCAAACTTTTTCTGCTCATACCGCGCTGACTAGTGAATAGTTAGCGTGTTAGATTGTGTGACAAGATGTGAAATGTTTCTCCACATTGTGCCGCTCTGAAGTCGCTACAATCGCCCCACAAATGAGACATAAAAAAATGGAAAAAATACCTCCACCTTCCATTCATCGTAAAAATAGTAGGTTTACTTTCGTTTTTTAGCCATTTTTTTTTAAATCAATAATTGTATTATTGCTGCTCCACAAACCAACGAACAAGAAAAACCCTGGTTCGTGGAAGGTAACACCTTTGTGATTTCATAATTGGGAGAGTATTGAATGATCCGTCACATTACTGCGGTCAAATACAAATCAGGTTGATCGTTACAAGTGATGTCATTCCCAGTTCCCATATGAGTGTGATTTATACAAGAATAGCATAACAAAAATTAATTTATGTAGCTTACTGAGCGTCGTTATCAAAGCCTATTT